ACGAAAGCACTTAACAATACCTTATTTGCTTAGGTAAATAGAGCTGCGTTTATGGGGCAAAACAAGTTGTATTTTAATAGTTTGGCACGCATTTATCCCGAGTTGTGGAATGTCCCTACTTAATAAAGACATTTATAATATTTGAAAAGTTGAAAGCAAAGAAAGTTATATTGAAGATTTTATTTTATCATTTCCATTATATATATATATATATCATCTCCCATAATGTATTGCATATATGTGCAGTAACATGTTCAGTAGTGCAAAATTGGAATTCAGCTCAAACTGGAGTAGGACAGTAGTTGATAAAAGTTGTTGTATTGATAAAGATTGAATTAGTCACCTTCTGATTAAAACCTTTGACACAACCTTGTAAACATTACTGTAAATGCATTAATATTCACTAGATTCATTACTTTGAGGTCATAATTTTGTCAAAATTAAAACTGAAACCCACCTAAAATTTCTTCTTAAAACAAAATATGAAAAACTTCTTGTATAATTAGAAACTATACATTTTGTTTTTGAGAAGTCTGGATGCATACAATAACATTGACTTTTTGTGTAATTTGCATAATCAATTAACGACTGAAACAATGCACACTGAAGACAAGATCATATCAACTCCGGCTACTGACTATTGATCAATGCAATTTTATCACTACGAACAAACTGAAACAAAATCTTGAGTTATTACTCAGATTGCTGCAAATTTTCGTTGTTTTATCATGAAGCGATAAACAGGTCCCCCCCCCGAGAACCCGAAACGCACGTCAGAGGAAGCGAAACTGTACTTGAAACAGAAACAGCATTGCAGACAGTACAAGGAAAGTATTCGTCACAAAAGCCAGCATTTCGGAGACAAAATTGTTGCCCAACATGGAAGTAGATGATCTGTTTCTCAGCAAGGAAGGTTGACTTTGATTGATATATATCCGATTATTTTGTATCGAACTGTTGAAACATTCATTGTGTTTGACATGTAAAACGAGCAAATGGCGAATTTCCGGACACACAGTATGGGTGGGGTTCACACTTCAGGTTTAAATGTTCAAACCAAGAGTATAAAATCTCATCAGCAAAAAAAAAAGGGGGGGGGGCAATATCTATCATCCAAAGACAATTTGAGATCAACTGAATATCTGTATTGGCCAAACGAACATTTGGGAAAGGCCGGCGAGGTTTGAAAAAAACTGCTCCCTACCACAAGAACGCAGTTTCAGAAGTTGCAGTGAAAGCAGAGTGTCAAGTTAGAAGAGGAGTTCAATCAAGCGGCAGCGTAACTTATTAAATTTAGCATAGAAATTAAACTTTATTTAGGATGCTATTTGTGTGGATGGATCATGGGTCAATCATGGCTTTTCTTCCAAATATGGTGTCGTATCAGTAATTTCTAGGTAGTGCATTCATTTTCGAGACGGGTTCAGCCCTGGTTGACAAAACATTAACCGTTGTTGCATTAACTGGTACTAGGGGTTTAGGCATGTTGACCTTTCTCTGGTTACTAGGCAAGTGTTTGATTTACAGAGTACGCAAGTAAACATAATTTGAATATATAATGAGGTGACGTCATTTATCTCAACTGTTCAACGTTATGCAGTGCGACTGTGTACTGTAAAAACTTTGTTTCTTTTTGGAGGGCAAATACAGGCCCAATACTTCATAGTAGTGGATATTAATACTGCAAGGCTACTAAGTGACTCAATGTTCTTCGTTCTGTTGTAAAAGTCTGTTCATCCGATGCTTTAAATGTCCAAAATTAGCACAACGTGATGAATATTTTGTTTTTTGGTGTTTTCAGGCAGAAAAAATTTAAGCCCACAGAGGTCATTTGACAGAGTTTTTCGTCATCAGAAATTGACCTACTTTTTATTCACGAACATTGATAACGTACAAGAATTTTTAGCTCCACTGTCGACTTTGTCAAGCGGAGCTTATCATGAGTGATTGTCCGTCGTCGTCTGTGTTAATGTTTTACTTTTTCGACTTCTTCTTGAAAACTACAAGCCTGAATGCTTTGATACTTGGTGTATATGTACCTTGGGTAGACCTCTCTTAGTTTGTTCATTTCATGATGATATCTTCAGTTCTCTAATTTTGGTGAATATTTTTGTCATTTTTGGTAAAAAGTGATATTTTCGACTTCTTGTTAAAAACTGTAAGTCCGATTGCTTT